TAGGGAGGTTGAGCATTTCTTCATGTGTCTATTGGCCATCCTTCTTTCCTCTTCAGAGAAGTTTCTCTTTAAGTCTTTAGCCCACTTATTTATTGGGCAGCTGTTTCTTTGAGGATTTGTTGTTGGGGATTTCATTCTTTGAGTTCCAGGCATATTTTCACTATTAGATTTTTATTGGCTTACTTTATATAATCCCACAGTGATTTTAGGATGTAGGTGCTGTTAGCCCCAGTTAGCAGCTATAGAAATTGATACATAGAGATGGTGAGTAACTCGCCCAAGGTCACATAACTAAAAAGTGGTTGAGCCAACAGTCACACCCATGTGTTTTGAAAACATACCCGTATTCGTAAGCCCTCTCATTACTATACTATAGTGCCTCTAGTTAACCATTGCTTCACATCCAAGTTCCCAATCTTGTCAGAAAGTCTCTTATAAGTATACTCCTTTGACCACTTTAGTCCAGAAGAGTTGGTATCTCTAGCTTTGATTGGTGATGATGCCAGTAGCCTCCTATTGGACCTTTGGCTTTTGACCTTTCCCTGTCTAACCTACCCTCTAGATGGCAGCTAGATTTATGAAGGTCTATAATGATAGCTTTTCCCATATACCAGTGTACTCTTGAATACATCAGTCTTATTATTTTATCTGTAACATGAGTTTAAAAAAATAGAATAAATTCTTTTTAATTTTTGAGCTTTCACTTGTGTGTGTGTATGTTTGTGCACGTGTGCATGCACCAGTCCTGGGGCTCGAACTTAGGGCCAGGCCTAGGCACTATCCTTGAGCTTTTTTTGCTCAAGGGTAATGCTTTACCACTTGAGCCGCATTTCTACTTCCTGCTATTTGGTGGCTAACTGGAGATGAGTCTCATGGACTTTCTTGGCTGGATTGGCTTTGAACCGTGATCCTCAGATCTCAGCCTCCTGAGTAGCTAGGATTACAGGCATGAGCTACCAGTGCCTGGCAAATTTTCAAATTTTAAGATGTCACTGTCCTATCCTCAAAAATTTCAGTTGTGGGCTGGGAAGGTGGCTCAGTGGTAGAGCGTTTGCCTTGCATGCCTGAGGCCCTGGGTTCAATTCCTCTGCACCACATAAGCAAAAAAGAAAAAAGCTGGAAGTGGCACTGTGGCTCAAGTGGTAGAGCGCTAGCCTTGAGCTAAAGAGCTGAGGGACAGTGCCCAGGTCCAGAGTTCAGGCCCCATGACCAGACCCTCCCCCCAAAAAAATTTCAGTTGTTTCCCTTTAGCTGTAAATTAAAATCAGAAATTTTTATTTTCTTTTTTTTTTTGCCGGTCATGGGGCCTAAACTCTGGGCCTGGGTGCTGCGCCTCAGCTCTTCAGCTCAAGGTTGGCACTCTACCACTTGAGCCACAGCACCACTTCCGGCTTTTTCTGCTTATGTGGTACTGAGGAATCAAACCCAGTGCTTCATGCATGTGAGGCAAGCACTCTACCAGAGTCACCTTCCTAGTCCGTTTTAAACTGGGTTTTAAACTCTGGGAGGATTTTCCACTCAAAGCTGGCACTTGAACTTTGTCTTCAGATCCTGAATTTTGCTGGTTAATTGGAGAAAAGAGTCTTAAAGATATGTCTGCCCAGGTTGGCTCTGAACTGCCATTCTTAGATCCCAGCCTCCTGAATAGTTAGGTATGAGCCACCAGTGCCTACCTAAATTCTTAACTTCTTAGACAAACATCGAAGACTTGTCATTAATCGACTGGCCTTATATCCTGATGTTTTACAGGACTTTATTAGGATTGTTGAATCAGTTTCTCCAACATTTTCTACATTTTCCTGCTTGTATCCTTTGGTCATGGGTATTTTCCTGACCAAAAGTGCATCCCATCCTCAAAGCCCTTTTATACCAATCAGCTCTGATCCTCTATAGTGAAGACAACAATCATATTTCTTCACCTTCCAAGTATGGGGTAGGAGAGTGGAATAAGAACTTACTCTAGGGCTGGGAAGGTGGCTCAGGGGTAGAGCGCTTGCCTTGCATGCCTGAGGCCCTGGGTTCAATTCCTCAGCACCACATAAGCAAAAAAAAGAAAAAAGCCGGAAGTGGTGCTGTGGCTCAAGTGGTAGAGCGTTAGCCTTGAGCTGAAGAGCTGAGGGACAGTGCCCAGGCCGAGTTCAGGCCCCACGACCGGACCCCCCCCCCCAAAAAAAAGAACTTACTCTACTTATAGTGTTAATCTTATAGGCATTACATAGATTTATCAAACACCTTTTTTTTTTTGGTCGGTTGTGGGGGGGCTTAAACTCAAGGCCTGGGTACTGTCCTTGAGCTTCTTTGTGTCAAGACTAACTTTACCACTTGAGCCACAGCACCACTTCCAGTTTTTGAGTGGTTAATTGCCTGGGCTGACTTTGAACCATGATCCTCAGATCTCAGCCTTCTGAGTAGCTAGGGTTACTGGTGTGAGCCATTGCATCTGGCCTTTTATATAAACATTTATTTTTATTTTTTAAAATTAGATACCTTTTTTTCATTGAAATGAGAGTTATATTAGACTCAGAGTGCTAGGGGGGATGCCTGAGTTACTTTCTGGCAGGCTTGAGTGCACAGAAAGGTTTATTTCTGTGGGATAAATGCCTAAGAGTACAATTGCTGGATTATATGGTAAGCATATGTTAGTTTTATAAGAAACTGCCAAACATTTTCAAATTGGCTGTATAATTTTACATTCCTAGTGATGTGGACCCAGCTTCTTTTGAACATTGGTGATGTAACTATTTTAATTTCAACATTCTGATAGGTGTGCAAGGAGTGATATTTTGTATGTAGTGGATTTCTCTAATGGCTGATGATGTTGAACTTGTTTTGTTTTTGTCATTTTCTGATTGGACAGTATACACTTACATACATACACATATATCTTTTTGTTTTTCTTTCTTTTTTGCCAGTCATGGAGTTTGAACTCAGGGCCTGAGCACTGTTCCTGAGCTTCTTTTGCTCAAGGCTAGTCCTCTACCACTTGAGCCACAGTACCACTTCCAGATTTTTCTGTTTATGTGGTACTGAGGAATCGAACCCAGGGCTTCATGCATGCTAGGCAAGCCCTATCTTTTACTTTTGTTTTAGTTTTTTTGTTGGTCGTGGGGCTTGAACTCTGGACTTGGGCACTGTCCCTGAGCTCTTCAGCTCAAGGTGAGCACTCTACCACTTGAGCCACAACACCACTTCTGGTCTTCTGGTGGTTTATTGGAGATAAGAGTCTCACAGACTTTCCTGCTCGTATTGGAGATAAGAGTCTCACAGACTTTCCTGCTCGGGCTGGCTTTGAACCATGATCCTCAGATCTCAGCCTCCTGAGTAGTTAGGATTACAGGCGTGAGCCACTGGAGCCCGGCTCTATCTTTTAGTTTTGATGTTAGTTTTTCTTTATATATTGTGGGTAAAGAGTCAGCTACATGCATTTTTTTCCATTCTAACTTGTTTTTGTTTTCTTCACAGGATTTTTCTCAGAGCAAGAATTCTAATTTCAGTAAGGTCTAATTTCAACTTTTCCCTTTTATGGGTTTTACTTTTGGTATCTGTCCCCTCCCCTGGCCCCCCAGTGGTCGTGGTGGTGATGGTGACACTAATCTTTAAATTCAAAGCTTTGCACTTGCTAGGCATTTGCTCTAGCACTTGAGCCATGTATTCTGTGCTTTTGGCATCAAGTCTAAGAATTCACTGCCTCCAGCTTAGGTCTTGAGAATTTTTTTTACTACACTTAAGAAAAGTTTAATAGCCTTACCTTTATTATGCAATCTATTCTGAGCGATTTTTAAAATTTTCTTTGCGTATGCTGGAGCTTGAAACTCTGGATCTAGGCGCTGTCCCTTAGCTTTTTCCATCAGTGCTGGCATTCTACCACTTGAGCCATACTTCCACTTCAGGCTTTTTGCTGGTTAACTGGACATCAAGAGTCTCATGGACCTTCCCGCTCCAGTTGGCTTCAAATCAAGACCCTGAGATCTCAGCCTTCTGAGTAGCTAGGATTAGAAATATGAGCCACCCGCGCCCATCTTGAGTGAACTTTGCATAACGGATTAGTTTAAGGTTCACATTTGGCGATCCTCTGGCTTCCACTTGCTGACTGCTGGGATTGCAGGCCTGCACCTCCACCCCCGGGTAGGGCCAGGGCTTTTACGGCGGCCTTTACACCTCAGCCCACCTACGGCGCTATTTACCACTCGGTGCCCCCTGCATGCTCGTGCCCAGTCAATTCCTGGTGAACTAGACTTCAAGCGGGTCCATTTGATTATTATTCCCTCCAGCCTTGTTTTCCTTTTTCTTCACTTACATACCAATTGGCCCTCTCCCCCTTCCCCCGCCCCAACCCGACCAGAAGAAGCCCGAGACGAGAATAGTGCTGTGCGCCCGGCACGCAGCAGCGCTCGTTAGATAATGTACGACTGGACGGACCGAGGGCAGGAACGGAGAAGTAAGAGAAGAGCGGCGACTGCCCACGCCTCGGCCTTCCTCGGGCTTCGGCGAGCCGCGAGCGCCCCCTCGCGGGAGGCTGGCTCGCGCCGGCATGAAGGAAGTGACTCAGAACTTTGAGGAGAGAAACAACAAAACAAAACAAAAACATGGCAGCTGGACGGAAGAGCTTGAGGCCTGGTGCCGGAAGTTCCATGCCGGAAGGTTGCTCCCTAGAAAGACGTCCCTAGAAAGAGCGGGAGGCGTTCGGCCCAAAGCGCTCGGCCTTCTGCTCTGGACGCGCGCAGAATCGTTCCGTGCGTGCGGAGGCTTCGGAGCCGGAGCGCGCTTCCGGTGTCGGCGGCGGCGGCGGCAGCCCGGGAGAAAGCCCCGGCCGCGGGAGGGGTGAGCGGGGCTCGGGGTCCCGAAGCAGCAGGGGAAGGGGTGAGGCCCGGGGGATGGACGGGGGAGGTGGAGGATTTTTACCTCTGAGCGGGCGGGAGGAGGTGGGCTGGGCGGGGAGGGCTGTCGGCGCCCGCGGACGGGTGTGCAGGCCACGTGCGCCGGGCTTTGTCCCGGGGCCGCCCGGCTCCCGCCCCGCTCCCGCCCGGCTCCCGCCCGGACGCAGGGCCGGGGGGCCGTGCCGCCGCCGCCTTCTTCTCTCTAGCTCGGTGCGGGGCCCAGAGCTGGCGCTGTGGCGGGCGCTTGCTGAATGAATGACCCGGGATGCGTGGGGAGGGCTGTGTCCCGAGCCGTTTCCCGCACATCAGCTCCATCTTAGTCTCCGTGTTCCATCCGAGGCTCTCCAGCCGGGCCTTGGGTCTGCTCTCGTTTTCTTGGAAGGACAGGGATCGACATTGAAGGGGAGGAGGGGGCTCCCAATTGACTGCTAGGACCTTTGACTGGGAGTAAGCGAGCCTGGTGTGCGGGTCACAGACACAGAAGTCGGACGCCAGCTTCAAGTGCGGCTGTTAGAGTCTAACTCGAGAAGAAAGAGCTGGCTGGTGGTGTGTCAGCCCCTCCTCCCATTCTGTTTCCAGGACTGGGGTCTCCTCTTTGCCCTTCATTTGCAAAATAAAGGGGGAGTGTCATCTGGACAGTCTCTAAAAACTCTTCCAGTTCTAATACTAGGGCTGTGCCTGACAGCACATGTCACTTCCACATTAGTAAAACCACATCAGTGCTGGTTTTTTCCAACCTGGATTATCGAGAAAGAGGATGTCTTTGGTTTTGTTTTTAAATTTTGGTACTTCATTTTCTTTTTTTTTATTGTCGGTCGTGGATTTGAACTCTGGGCCTGGGCACTGTCCCTTAGGTCTTCAGCTCAAGGCTAGTACTCTACCACTTGAGCCACAGCACCACTTTCCGCCACTGCCACCTGGCTTCCTTCCTTCCTTCCTTTCTTTCTTTCTTCTTTTCTTCTTTTTTTTTGGGGGGGGGGTCTGGTTGTGGGGCCTAAACTCTGGGCCTGGGCACTGTCCCTCAGCTCTTCAGCTCAAGGCTAGCGCTCTACCACTTGAGCTACAGCGCCACTTCCGGTTTTCTGGTAGTTTATTGGAGATATGAGTCTCACGGTCTCTCCTGCCCGGGCTGGCTTTGAACAGCGATCCTTAGATCTCAGCCTCCTAAGTAGCTAGTATTACAGGCGTGAGCCACCAGCGCCCGGCTTGGTGTGTTTTTTTTTTTATTTTTTTGCCAGTCATGGGCCTGGGTGCTGTCCCTCAGCTCTTCAGCTCAAGGCTAGTGCTCTACCACTTGAGCCACAGTGCCACTTCCAGCTTTTTCTGCTTATGTGGTGCTGAGGAATCGAACCCAGGGCCTCAGGCATGCAAGGCAAGTGCTCTACCACTGAGCCACCTTCCCAGCCCCTCCTTTCTTTTCTTTTTCTTTCTCCAGTCCTGGGGCTTGAACTCAGGGCCTGGGCTCACTGTCCTTGAGCTTCTTTTGCTCAAGGCTAGCGCTCTGCCATTTGAGCCACAACACCACTTCCAGCTTTCTCTGTTTATGTGGTACTGAGTAATCAAACTCAGGGCTGCCTGCATGCTAGGCAAGCACTCTACCACTAAGCCACATTCCCAGCCCCTTTGTACTTTATTTTTACACCTCCTTTCTTAGTTCCATTACAGTATTGGATACACAGCAGAAAATGAATAGAAATTTACTAAATCAAATGGGATAGAAATTACAGTCCTACTTTGGACATTAGTTCTTACAGGGGGGGGGAGCTGGAGAGGAACTGGGGTTTTACCTAGAGAGATTTGGGGTAGGCATGGCAGTTTTAAGCCAGCTTTAGGAATAATCTGCTTGAGAAGGATAATGATGTGAATGAGAATCAGTGCTGTTTGATTCCCCTATCCCCAGGACCATGGCCTGCACTGAGCGTACGTTCATTGCTATCAAGCCTGACGGAGTCCAGCGGGGTCTTGTGGGAGAGATCATTAAGCGTTTTGAGCAGAAAGGATTCCGCCTCGTTAGTTTGAAATTTATGCAGGTGAGTGGACTTCCTAAGACTTCTCTGTAGTAAGATGTCAAAACTTGAAAACTCCTCAGTGACTAAGCATGTTAGCAGAATCTTGGGACCAAACCAAGTTATTTTGGATTTCTAAAAATAGTCTGTCATTTACCCTTAGCAGTGAAGAATTCCACATATTACTGCAGCCCTGTAATTTCTGACTCAGCTCAGTGTGTCTTTGAGCTCCTGATCTCTAATTTCTAGCAGATAATTTTAGAAAACCCCCACCTCTCTTCTTCCTGAACTCCCAGTCCTTTGAGGCAGGGGGTATTTCAGCAGGAAAATACTTACGTCACCAATTACTACCTGCTTAGGGTCCATCATAGGTCAGGTACCTTTTGGCCTTGGGGAAAACTGGTTTTGCCCTTGAAGAGGTTCCTCTTCTACTGCAGACACAGCTGCCAGATGCAGACAAAGCAATATTTCAATAAATGCAAAGGTCTAGTGGCCAAGAGCCGTCTTTCAAACAAGTCAGTGATGAGAATTCAGATTCTTTTTTTATTTTTTACTTTTTTTGGGTCCGGTTGTGGGGCCTGAACTCTGGGTCTGAGCACTGTCCCTCAGCTCTTCAGCTCAAGGCTAGCGCTCTAACACTTGAGCCACAGCACCACTTCCGGCTTTTTTCTTTTTGCTGATGTGGTGCTGAGGAATCGAACCCAGGGCCTCAGGCATGCAAGGCAAGTGCTCTACCACTGAGAATTCTCTCCCAGCCCGAGAATTCAGATTCTTAAATAAAGTTGCAGATAGAATTTTTCCCATTAAGTGAATTAATGTTGGACCCTCCTTCTTAGTATGTTTTGAATGCGTGTTTTAGTAGCTGATAGGTTGATGGATGTTTTAATCGCTAATTTCTATGTATGTGTGTATACCTAAAGTGTTCAGTATGCCTTGTATGATGCTGTTCTGCGGACTCAGAAAAACTGAGGGGCCCTGATAGACCCTTAGCAAGACTAGATGCTGTAGCAAAGGGATAGCATGAGCCAAGATCAGCTGAAACTCAGCAGATGGTTTGCTCTCTAGCTAGCTTGATTTGTTCCCACGTGCCATCCTCGCAGGGTGAGATTCTGAACTTCCGCAGAAGTATTTATTGCTTGATGTCTTGTATTTTGGGGTAGTTTAGATCATATGGTAATCACATGGGGCCTATATCCTCTGAATAAACGTGAAGCATCTCCAGGAGTTGTCCTGGTTCATGTCGCTGCTGATCAGATGCAGAATGTTCCCTCTGGTGTTTTAGTTGGGGTCTGCTCTGGAATAGAAATTCATTATACTATTAGTTTTCCTTTCTCACATGAGATGGCTGGATTCAGTTCCAAGATCATTTTATTCAGACCCATCAAGGGCAAGAAGGGGAAATTGTGGTGCAAAACTGCAGAAACATTTTAGTCTCTGTGCTCTCTGCCCTCTAGTAGTGTGAAGGGCAAACTGGGTTTTAACAAATCAGTAGGCTGAGAGCGTTTATGCTGGATAGCAGGGTCAGTGAGGGGATAACTAGATTGCTGATTTGTAGACACTTTGCTCCCAGTCCTCATCTGTTGTCCTGTGGAATAGGCTTCTGAAGATCTTCTCAAGGAACACTACATTGACTTGAAGGACCGTCCCTTCTTTCCAGGCCTGGTGAAATACATGCACTCAGGGCCCGTGGTTGCCATGGTGAGTAGGCCTGGGTGGGAAGTTCATGAGAATGACTTTGTTGGTGAGTGTTCCTCTTCCTGTGTTGGATGTCAGGTCCTCACTGCTGCAGAGGAATAGGTTGTAGGATTGAACAGTTGGGGTGGGGGTCAGCTGTCTGAGGTGAGGAGAGAACGGGCTTGAAAGCCCTGGAGGGTAGAGAGGTTGTCTCTTATTTATTGCAAGTCAACTTGCTTCTTATTTTTTTTTAATTAATTTTTAATTTTTATTGTAGGGCTCAAACTCAGGGTCTAGGTGCAGGCCTGGAACTCTTTTGCTCAAGTCTAGCACTGTACCATATTGAGCTCTACTTCTGGTGGTTCACTGGAGATAAGAGTCTCACAGACTTTCCTGCCCAGGCTGGCTTTGAACTGTGATCCTCAGATCTCAGCCTCCTGAGTAACTAGGATTAAAGGTGTGAGCCACCAGTGCCTGGCTGCATTGCTTTTTATATTTGTGTCAATCACTCTTTATGACATTGGGGATACAGTCATTAATGAGACAAAAAAAAGTATCAGATTTTCATAGTTTTCTTGGCTTACTCTTTGTACACACACTTTGTGTGTTTATGTCTGTATGTGTCTGTGTGTCTGTCTGTGTGTGTGTCTGTCTGTGAGGGAGGCTGAAGATTTAGCCCAGGTCTTCACACATTCTAGGTAAGTAGTCTACCTCTGAGATACATCCTCAGACTTTGTTTACTCTTATTAAAGGGGTGGAGGTGTTATACAATAAAGGAATTATGAAGTATATATCAGCTAGTGCTGAGTGATAAGAAAAATGAAATAGGCTGATAACAAATGTTACTCATTCATTCAGTGCCAGTACTGAATCTTGATGTTTTCTTGCTCATAGCTGTTGATATACCACTTGAGCCATGCCTTCATTCCACTATTTTACCAGTTATTTGAAGATAAACTCACAGACTTTTCAGCCCAAGATGACTTCAAACCTTGGTCTTCCAGGTCTCAGCTTCTTGAGTACCAAGGACTTATGGACATAGTGCCTGGCTATGTTACAACTTTAAGTTGGATATTTTAGGAGTATGATTTTCAAACTAATACCTTTTTTTTTTTTCTTGCCAGCCCTGGGGCTTGAACTTGGGGCCTGGGCAATGTCCCTAAGCTTCTTGCTCAAGGCAAGCACTCTACCACTTGAGCCACAGCACCACTTTCAGCTTTTTGTGTTTATTTGGTACTGAAGAATGGAACTGGGGCTTCATGCATGCTAGGCAAGCACTCTACCACTAAGCCACATTCCCAGCCCTCTTGATTGGCTTTTTCACAGCCATTCCTCACAGCTGATGCTCTACCACTTGAGCCATACCTCCAGTGCAGCTTTTCAGCTGAGCAAGTGGAGATAGAATCTTGAGAACTTCCTTCCTAGGCTGGTGTCAAACCATGATCCTCAAATCTCCTGAATATATTTTAGGAGTGAGCCACTGGTCCCTGACTAGGTATGGCTTTTTGAAGAAGGCTGGCATACCTGAAGTCTGGCAGGTAGAAGATAGGGTGAGAAGGGTTCAGAGGCACAGGCAGGGGCACATCATTTAGGCTGTGTTGGCAATGTCCTTCACTAAGTGCTAGGACACTGGGAGGTTTCACACTTACTTAGCATTCTGTATACTGTGGGTGTCATGTTGAGAGTGGACTGTAGACAGAAATGTCAGAGAGACTGGTATCCCCCATGCTGGAATAAGTAGAAGCTCTGTGAATGTTTGTCCAGTGGATGGATATCAACTTCTAGGTTCTTATACTTGGTAGGCAGGCACTCTTCCACTTAATTCTTAATTTTCCTGTTTTGAATTAGTAGTTGCCAGATTTTCTGCTGAGATTGGTTTTCTTTCTTGACCTTGTCTTCTTTTGTCCTTGGAGGTCTGGGAGGGGCTCAATGTTGTAAAGACAGGCCGAGTGATGCTTGGCGAGACCAACCCTGCAGATTCCAAGCCAGGGACCATCCGTGGGGACTTCTGCATCCAGGTTGGCAGGTGAGTTTTTTTTTTTTTTTTTGGTCGGTTGTGGGGCCTGAAAGCTGGGCCTGGGCACTGTCCCTCAGCTCTTCAGTTCAAGGCTAGCACTCTACTACTTGAGCGTCAGCCCCACTTCCGGCTTTTTCTGCTTATGTGGTGCTGAAGAATTGAAACCAGGGCCTCATGCATGTAAGGCAAGCACTCCACCACTGAGCAACATTCCCAGCCCCGCAGGTGAGTTTTTTTTGTTTGTTTGTTTTTCTCTCAAAGCTATCTTTCTAGCTCTTGTGCCATAGCTCCACTTCTGGCTCATTGATTTTTCCTGAACAGGCTGGCTTTGAACCATGATCTTCAGATCTTAGCCTTCTGAGTAACTAGGATTATACGTGCAAGCCACTGGTGCCAGATTTGGTGTTTTTTTTTTTTTTTTTCGGTCGTGGGGCTTGAACTCTGGGCCTGGGTGCTGTCCCTCAGCTCTTCAGCTCAAGGCTAGCGCTCTACCACTTGAGCTACAGCGCCACTTCCGGTTTTCTGGTAGTTTATTGGAGATATGAGTCTCACGGTCTCTCCTGCCCGGGCTGGCTTTGAACAGCGATCCTTAGATCTCAGCCTCCTAAGTAGCTAGTATTACAGGCGTGAGCCACCAGCGCCCGGCTTGGTGTGTTTTTTTTTTTATTTTTTTGCCAGTCATGGGCCTGGGTGCTGTCCCTCAGCTAGCGCTTTACCACCTGAGCCTCAGCCCCACTTCCAGCTTTTTCTGCTTATGTGGTGCTGAGGAATGGAACCCAGGGCCTCATGCATGCAAGGCAAGCACTCTACCACTGAGCTACCTTCCCAGCCCCGACGAGTACATTTCTTATCAAGCATTGTTGCCTCCTCGTTGTTTCCCGTTCCCAAAGGGTTTACTTCTGATGTGCTATCGAGAGCACAGACCTTTGGCTTTCCTGCAGTGGGCATGCAGGGGACTCCTGGGCAGTTAATCCTGGTCTTGGTCACATGGTCTCTCTTTCCACCTAGGAACATCATTCATGGCAGCGATTCCGTGGAGAGTGCAGAGAAGGAGATCAACTTGTGGTTTCGGCCTGAGGAACTGGTGGATTACAAGAGCTGTGCACAGGACTGGATCTACGAGTGACAGGCGAACAGGCCATGATAGTTTTCCTGTCTACTCTCCACCCCTTTCCCCATTCCCAGACTAGCAAATTCAGTTATTTCTGGAACTTCCTGTAACCTAGAGGAATGCTCTCAAAGATGTGAGTGCTCCTTTTACAGTGTTATATGCTGCCATCGGATTAAAATATTTCATCTCAATATAGGAATAGTTGATGTGTTACTTCATACTGCTTCATTGCTTTGCATTGCTTATTTCCTTTATACTGAGTGGGAATACTTTGTGAATTATTAATGTTGACTGTACCTATATATAGTCATTTTTTGCCTGATTCTTTTTTTTTGGTCGTGGGGCCTGCATTCTGGGCTTGGGCACTGTCCTTCAGCTCTTCAGCTGAAGTCTAGCACTCTACCACTTGAGCGTCAGCCCCAGTTCCGGCTTTTTCTGCTTATGTGGTGCTGAGGAATCGAACCCAGGGCCTCATGCATGCAAGGCAAGCACTCTACCACTGAGCCACCTTCCCAGCCCTTTTGCCTGATTCTTTACCCCCTGCATCCATCCCATCTACTCTTGGCACTGAGTCAATTAACAAGCAACTGTGCAGGATGTCTGCTAGGTTGTAAAGACTACTGGGCATAGAGGCTCTTTCAGAAATAAAAGCAGCAGGCTGGGAATGTGGCTTAATGGTAGAGTGCTTGCCTAGCATGCACAAAGCCCTGGGTTCAATTCCTCAGTACCACATAAACAGTAAGGGCTGGAAGTAGCACTGTGGCTCAAGTGGTAGAGTGCTAGCCTTGAGCAAAAGAAGCTCAGGGACAGTACCCAGGCCCTAAGTTCAAGTCCCAGGACTGGCCAAAAAAAAAAAGATAGAGCAGCGTGTAGTATTGGGTATTGTACACCTCTGATCCTAGCCCCAGTGGGGTGGAAACAGGAGGATCGTGAGTTTGAGCTATGTAGCCTGGGCTTCATAGCTATACCTTATTTTGGAAAACCTGAGAAGTTCTCAGGAACAGATGGTCATGTGGGAGGAGTTGTAACTATTCTAAGAATCAAAAGAGCTATGTAGATAGTAGGTTTGAATCCCTGGGATGCTGTCAAACAAAATGAGAGAGGTTATAGGTAAATAGGTTTGATTTGTGAGGACACTGTTTGAGTTGCTTTGAGAGAGTCTAGAAGCCAGCATGGTAATCCTAGCTACTCTGGACTAGAATATCAGAATTGGAGTCCAAGGCTAGCACAGCTAAACATTTACTGAGACCACATCTCTAGAAAAATCTTGAATGTGGTGGTGGGAACCTCACACCCCAGCTATGGTAGGGAAGTGTAAATAGCAAAAGGCTGATAATCCTAGCACTCAGGATCTTGAGGTAGGAAGATTAAAACAAAAGAACCAAAACTCTGGATTTATAACCTTTGTTTCCCCTCACATTCCACTAGCCAGAACTGACTTAGTCACAAGGCTGCATTAGCTAACAAAACTGAGATACTGTCTAACTTTATTTGTAGGTAAAGCTCCCAAGTTTTACCTAGAAGTGAGAGTGAATACTGGAGAGTTGGGGAACAACAATTTTTTTTTTTCTGGTCTTGGGGCTTGAACTCAGGGCCTGGGTGTTGTCCCTGAGCTTTTGCTCAAGTCTAACTACCAACTTGAGCCACAGTGCCACTTCTGGGTTTTTTTTTTTTTCCTGAGTAGTTTATTAGTGATGAGTCTCATGGACTTTTTTTTTTTGTTTTTTTGGTCGGTCGTGGAGCTTGAACTCTGGGCTTGGGCTTTGTCCCTCAGCTCTTCAGCTTAAGGCTAGTGCTCTACCACTTGAGCCACAGTGCCACTTCTGGTTTTCGAGTGGTTTATTGGAGATAAGAGTCTCACAGACTTTCCTGCCCGAGCTGGCTTTGAACTATGATCCTCAGATCTCAGCCTCCTAAGTAGCTAGGATTATAGGCATGAGCCACTGGCACCCGGCACCCGACTTCTCAGGGACTTTTTTGCCTAAGCTGGCTTCCAACCACAATCCTCAGATCTCAGTCTCCTGATTAGGATTAGGGGTGAGTTTGGGGCAACTGATTTTTGCTACAAACTTCAGCAGGTTTTCTTTTTCTTTCTTTCTCTGTAGAGCTGAGGGCTGAACTCTGCCTTGCACTTGCCAGGCAAATGTTCTTCCACTGAGCTAAATCCCCAACCTCTTTCTTGTCATTTTTGAGGTTATTAGGGGCAATAGAGGGAGGAAAGGGAGGTCTGTGGAGACAAGGAAGCTTGGGGTGGGTGCATGTCTGTTAGACACAGCACTGGCTGTTTTAGAGGGTGAAGGAGAGTATCAGGACTCGGGGAATGAATGTGTGTAGTGCGGCCCACTGCAGGGAAGTGTCCACTAAATTTCCAGACCCTTTAGTAACAGAAAACAAAATCCAGAGAAAGCTGGGCACCGGTGGCTCACGCCTGTAATCCTAGCTACTTAGGAGGTTGAGATCTGAGGATTGCGGTTCAAAGCCAGCCCGGGCAGCAAAGTCCGTGAGACTCTTATCTCCAGTAAACCACTAGAAAACCGGAAGTGGTGCTGTGGCTTAAGTGGTAGAGCACTCACCTTGAGCTGAAGAGTGCAGGGACAGTGCCCAAACCCAGAGTTCAAGTCCCACGACTGACCCCCCCAAAAAAAAATAGAGGAGAGGGTGCTTCAGATTGAGGCACAGAATGAAGGCAAGTGACAATCATTGCCAGTGTTTTCTGGGTTGATATTCTACAACCACCAGGTTTGGGAAAGCCAATGGTGGGTAGCCAAGGTCTATATTGCATTTACCTGGTCAGGCACAGGTGGCCAGTGGTGCTGGGAGGGAGCTGCTGGGAAATGGCATGAGTCCTAGAGCTTCCCTCGGCCCACAAAGGAGGGCTTACTATTCTAGAGACACCAGAAACCAGATGCTTGTACTCCTAGCTACTCTGGAGGCTGAGATTTGAGAATGGAGATTTAAAGCCAGCCCAGGCAGAAAAGTCTGTTGGACTCTTTATCTCCAATAAGCCACCCAAAAATCCAGAAGTAGAGGGGTGGCTCAAGTTGTAGATTGAGCATAAAAGCTAAAGGACAACATCCAGTCCCTGAGATCAAGCCTCAGTACACACACACACACACACACACACACACACACACACACACCTCTGTGTATATACACAGCGTCAGTACACACACACACACACACACCTCAGTATATACACACATACACAATCAGAAAAGGGCTTTCTCCTGGTCAAATGAATTGGAGTCACTCGCAAATGTGGCAGTGAAGTCTCACAAAGGAATGATGGATGGGGTGAGCAGTCCAAATAGTTTATTAGGGGGCTGGGAAGGTGGCTCAGTGCTAGAGCGCTTGCCTTGCATGCTTGAGGCCCTGGGTTCGCTTCCTCAGCACCACATAAACAGAAAAAAAAAGCCGGAAGTGGCACTGTGGCTCAAGTGGTAGAGTGCTAGCCTTGAGCTGAAGAGCTGAGTGACAGTACCCAGCCCCAGAGTTCAGGCCCCACGACCAGATCCCCCTCTCCCCCCCAAAAAAAATAGTTTATTAGGAGAATGTACAGAACTGCAGATCATGCTTGAGAGCCAGTGAGAGCAAAGGACCTGGGTCTGTCTACCTGAGCAAATGGTGTTAAAGAGTCAGTATAGAATTTTTGTAAGAGGGCTTACGGAATTTTGGCTCAGGGCCTGGACCATAAACACCTTTATTAATGTCTGGGAATGTTCAAGGCCCCAGCTTGGACAAGCCTGCCAGGAAAAATCTGCAGCTAGCTAGGTCACAGAGGCAACAAGGAACTGTGATTTATGGTAGTAGGGGCGTGGGGGTGAGGACGTTCAGGGGGGCTAGTGGTTGTGCAAAGTAGACAGGGCGTAGGCATACTCTGCAAATCAACAGGCCTTAACTTCTAAAAGAATCTAGAAGAATCTTGTCTCTGGTCTGTCTTAGGTTGAGCTTGAATAACCTGCTCAGCTCACAGGTAGCGCTGGCTGGGTGGAGCAGGAACATCTCTGGATGGGAACCGGGAGACTCAAGGGGTGCTGAAAGGGACTGGAAAAGGCTGGGTGGAGGAGACAGGTTATTAAGCCTGGGGGTTGGGGGGAGGGAAGCAGCCGACCACAGAAGACAAGGGCTATCATCCTAGGAGTTGGTGATGCCATCCTGTGGCAGGGGACAGAGACAGAAGCCAACAGTTGAGGAGGGTGCAGAGGGAGGCTCTGTGGGGCACAGGCCATAGGGAGGTTGGGTGTGTGGAAGAGAAAGGGCTGGGGGGGCGCCACCAGGGCCCACAGAGGAGGGAAATGGGAGGCTGTGGAAACATGAAGGGACTTTGGCGTGTCTGAGCTGAGTTCCACTCGTGTGTGTGTGTGTGTGTGCGTGCGCGCGCGCGCAGGTCTCTGGGGCCTCCAGAGTTTGGAGGTGCTCGGCTGTGTGTGTGGGGAACGACAAGTCACTTCCTGCTTGGGAACCCACGGTCGTTCAGCCGGCGGAGGCGGGCACCCCGGGCCACTGGGCGGGGACAGAGCGCTGGCCGCCGGGCGCTGGGCCTCCGGGGTTGGTCGGCGGGGTCCTGGGCGGCCCCACCCCTCGCCCCTCCTCCGGGTGGTCGCTCTCGCCTTCCGGCTTTCGCTGCTGCCGCGATCGGATCTCCCCCTCCGCCTTCTCGGTAAGGCCAGGACGCTCTCCCTGGGCCCCCCGCCCTCCCGCAACCCCCCCCTTTCGGGGCCGTGGTCCACCCGGTCCCCACGTCCCCACTCGGGCAGGGCGGGGCGGGGCCAGCGGCCGCGAAGCCACGTGTCCCAGGCCGGGCGGGTGGTGGAGGCCGGGCCGACGCCCACGTGGCTTCCTGGACCCAGGACCCAGCCCCGGCCGGCCGCCCTGACCGCACCTCTGGCCCCGCAGAAGAGCCATGGCTAACCTGGAGCGGACCTTCATCGCCATCAAGCCCGACGGCGTGCAGCGTGGCCTGGTGGGCGAGATCATCAAGCGCTTCGAGCAGAAGGGATTCCGCCTGGTGGCCATGAAGTTCGTGCGGGTAACGCGCCCCTTCGGCCCTCTGCGGCCGCCGGCTCGCCAGTGCTTTGCCCTCCGGGCAGCTGTTGGGCAGCGGCGGGTCCGCGTCTCCTTGCCCGAGGGCCCGGGGTCGGTTTCCCTCCCTCCAAAGTCCCTGTGCCCCGCGCCCGCCCCAGGCCGCCCGCGGGCCCCGTTGGCCGCGTTCCCAGGCCCCGGAGGACCCGGCGCCCTTGGGAAGGTGACTCCCGCCCCAGGCTGGGCACCTGGGCCCTGCGGAGGCCGCGGGTCGCCCCGGGGCCTCCGCCTGCCTGGCGCGTGGGTCGCGGAGGGCGTGGAGCCCGGAGCGGAGAGGAGCCTGGGGTTTCCTTCCGGCCCACGTGGGGCCGCGCTGGCTCGGGATGGGGGGCGGAGGGGAGGAGGGGGGCGCACAGCTCTTGGGTGCTACAGCCTGAAACTTGGCCCTGATGGAGGTTTCGAGGTGCTGCGTCTGTGTGGGTCTGCTTCGGCAAGGGGCGCTTGACTGTAGTTTCCAGATTTTTCATTTGGGGCTCAGATTCGAGCCCCTACAGTTTTAAGGGGGTAAGTAGTACCCATGGACTGAAATTTCCATCAAGTCCCCTTCCCTGAAAGGGGATATTGTCCGAAATGATGGAGAGGCGCTGGGTAGGCCCGAGGGCTTTGATGTGGTCTCTTTTCTCTGGCATATCCGTCCATAGCAGCCACCCTTCTACTCCAGCTATCGAGATCCTCTGCTGAGGATTAGAAAATCTCATTGACAGCACAAGGATGTTTTTATGATCACAACAGCTTCTGCCCCATCTCCCCCACTCCTCCCGCCTCCGCCAAGGTGGCATTATGATTTGATTCGGATTTTAAAAATATGAGCCTTACGAATAGGTTGATAGACTAGACCTGACTTTCAAAGAAGCTGCCATGTGGGCTTGGGAAAGGTGGGTTGGAGCCATATTTGAGCCATTCCATTTGGTTTCCTAATGGGACCCTCTGAATGTCAGGCTTCTGAGGAACACCTGAAGCAGCACTACATTGACCTGAAAGACCGTCCCTTCTTTCCGGGGCTGGTGAAATATATGAACTCTGGACCCGTGGTAGCCATGGTGAGTGCTGAGGGAAAATTGGGGAGGCCGGGAGGGAGGCCCCTGAGAGGAACCAGGGAAATTTCTCTGTACCTGAGGTTTTTTTTCCCCCCCTTCTTTTTCTGCCACCGTTACCTTTTTAATAACTTATGAGCAGCATTTTAATGAATTAAAATATTAATTTTTACCAACTACTTAGTTAAGGACTGGGACCTTGCTGTGTTTCCCAGCCTGGCCTTGAACTTTGGTAGATGGCTAACACCCCTCCTCAGGATTACCTACCTAAATTCTGTTTTACAAATAGAGCATGCTGGTGTTTGGTTAAATTGGAGCTTGGGAGGGGTTACAAGTTGAAGCCAAAAAAAGATTTTAGCCAAAAGGGTTAAGGGTGGGGCAGGTGGTAGGGTGCTTGCCTTGCTAGCTCTGACTTGCATATGTGGGGCTGTGCAGTAAATTCCTCTGTGCTAAGCCCAGCTACACAGAGAAACCAAAACAGATCTTAAAAAAAGGACCATCTCTCCTGGGTCAGTCTATCTGGAAAAAAAATGCTAAATTTCCTTTTTAATAGATTAAAAAATTATTTTGTTACAAAGGTGTTGTACAGAGGGATTCCATAAGTCAGGTAATAAGTACATTTCTCTTTGGACAATGTCATTCCTTCGCTGGCTCTGACAGGTGTTTTTAACCATAATGCTTCCTAGACAGAAATGAATACTTCAGGGATAGGAGGGGTGTTTCTAGCAATAAAGTTCAAACACTAGTACCACCAAAAGTTAAATAAATACACTTGAAAATTTTCTCATGGAAAATTCAGATGGACCAAATGCCAGTGTCATGCTTGTAACCCTAGCTTCTCATGAGGCTGAGACCTGAATAATTGAGATTCAAAAACAGCTGAAGCTTATACCTGTAATCCTAGCTACTCAGGAGGCTTAGATCTGAGGATTTTGGTTTGAAGCCAGCCTGGGCAGGAAAACTGGTGAAAAGACTGAGACTCTTAGCTCCAGTTAATCACCAAAAAAGCTGGTGTGGAGCTATGTGGTAGTTTGCTATCCTTGAGCAAAAAAGCTCAGAGAGACAGTACCTGGGCCCTGAGTTCAAGCCCCAGAACTGTCCCCTCCTCCCCCTCACCTTCCAACCCTAACAGTTGGAGCAGCATAGTCTTAGAGACTCCCATTTCCACTGAACTAGCAAAAAGTCCAGCTTGACACAGGTGATAGAGTAGCCGCTGAAATGCGAAGCTTTTGAGTTCAAACTCCAGGACAAAGAAAAAAAAAACCAACGACGTGATACTTGAAGTAAAAGTTCTCTAGTCTTTGGATGTCCCACATGTCCAGTTGGGAGTAAAACTGAGGGTGTAATTAATTGGGAGACACTGAAATCTCTGAGAAAAGACAGCTTTCTGATCCTATGTGGCTGGCTTTCTTTTGCTCTTCTTTGGAGTACTTTCCCATTTATGCCACTGTTGGCTGTCCTTGTCTTCTGGGATCTTTGTCATTAATGTACCCATCCTTTTTTGTTTTGCTGGTCGTGGGGCCTGAAATCTAGGCCTGGGTGCTGTCCCTCGGCTCTTCAGCTCAAGGCTAGCGCTCTACCACTTGAGCCACAGCGCCACTTCCAGCTTTTTTTTTTTTTTTGCTTATGTGGTGCTGAGGAATCGAACCCAGGGCCTCATGCATGCAAGGCAAGCACTCTACCACTGAGCCACCTTCCCAGCTCCTGTACCATCCTTTATAGTTTTTTTTGTCTGTCATGGGGCTTGAACTCTGGGCCTGGGTGCTGTCCCTGAGCTCTATAGTTCAAGGCTAGCGCTCTACCACTTGAAATAGCGCCACTTCCTGTTTTCTGTTGGTTTATTGGAGATAAGAGTTTCATTGACTTTTCCTGCCCAGGCTGGTTTTGAACCTCAATCCTCAGATCTCAGTCTCCAGAGTAGCTAGGATTACAGGCGTGAGACACCGGTGACCAGCCTTCATAGTATTTATAGCCATACCAGCATTCTTTAGTCCTGGTTAGTCTCCACCTAAGGTAGATTGGAAACTCCCCAAATTGAGTAGATCTTCCCTGTTTCACATTTGTTTTAGTTTTTCTCTTAAAGGCCCCTACAATCTTTTGGGGTTTATGGGACAGTCTCTAGTTGATCTCTTTGGTGACTGCTATTAGGTAGGTGGGTAGATCTGTTTCAGTAATTCTTTCTTCTCTCTGGTCAAGGTCTGGGAGGGGCTGAATGTGGTGAAGACTGGCCGAGTAATGCTTGGAGAAACCAATCCAGCAGATTCTAAGCCAGGCACCATTCGAGGGGACTTCTGCATTCAAGTTGGCAGGTGAGTCCTGGTAGGGCTATTTGAATAAACTACATTTAAGTGGAGTCTAAAACATTTTGACAGCAAGAAGAGTGAGTGGTCAGAGTACTTCATATGCATGGGTGAAAGTATAACAATGAAAGCTGTTGAAACTTGAGGAAGAGAGAGTTTGAGAGGTGACTTTGATTCCCATACCTTGTGTTGTATAGAAATGTCATAGTGAGACAACTGCGCAATAGATGTTAATGAAAACTTGCACAGAACATTTTTTGATTTTTTTTTTTTTGGTGCCGGTTCTGGGACTTGAACTCAAGGCCTAAGCTTCTTTTGCTCAAACCTAGTGCTCCACCACTTGAGCCACAGGTCTACTTTGGCATTTGTGGCAGTTTAGTGGAGATAAAATTCTCAAGAGTTTTCTGCCCTGTTTAGTTTCAAACCATGAGCCTCAGATCTCAGTCTCCTGAACAGCTAGGATTATAGGCTTGAGCCACCGGTGCCCGTTTCTAGAGAACATTTTGTATATTTCCCAATTTTAGAATAACTTGAGCGTTGATAATTAGCATTGCATAAAGGCCTTCATAAATAGCTACTTCCTAGGTTACTTAAAATTCTACCCAGGCCCTTGCCCAAGGGAGTCATATATGGCTGTTGTCATTTGATTCGGCAGAAGGTACCTAAGTATGGGGAGAGGATGGGTTCTAGCTTTGCCCACAACCCCTGCGGGGGGGGGGCGAGGGGGGCCCTCTTCCTTCCCCCACGTCCAGGGGTTTGACATATAGCTCTTTGGTTCTCTCTCCAACATAGTCATATCAAAACACTTCATGGCATTCAAACAGAATAAAGGTTCACAATTCCTTTTAAAACACGTTGGGTGGGGCAAAGGTATGCCCAATTACCTTCCTCTGCTAAATAACCCTTTAAATACACTTGGGCAAAAACAACAACAAAAAAACCCAAAAACAAAAAAACAAAATACACTTGGGCACTTTAAAACATAGTAACTAGTAATTGTTCTGTTTCTCAGGAACATCATTCATGGCAGTGACTCAGTAAAAAGTGCTGAGAAGGAAATCAGCTTATGGTTTAAGCCTGAAGAATTGGTTGATTATAAGCCTTGTGCTCATGACTGGGTCTATGAGTAGAAGTGGACACAGCAGGGGTCCTGATCACCTTTAGCAAAACACCTGAGTCCCTGGACCCAGCTCTCCGTTTTACTGACAGAATGATATGATGGAACTTTTCTAAAGCATATTTACCAATAAAGCCTTTGGAACTAGGGGTACAGAGTCCTGTGCTGATTTGATGCTGAGAAGTGACTTTGTTTCCCTGGTTTAGTGGCATTACCCAAACAAACAAACGAGTCCTATTTATTGTGGAGGAATTCTTTCTCCAAATATGGGTGTAGTTGAAGACATCAAGGAAAACTAATAGGGAGAAGGGCAAAGTATGGCCCTGGCTGTAAATGTTTAAGGATTTGTAGGAATTTGGTAAAGCGAGCATAGACATTAGTCAGGTGGTCTAGATTTACATTGGTGGAAGTCTAAAGACAGGTAAAATGGGGATACCTACCATTGGTATGCACGATTTAAAAAACTATGCAGTTCACCTCTGGCTTGTCCATAGCTGGTACACAGGTGTTCCCACAATCATGTACTCTTTGTTACACTGGGGCATAACTCAGGGCTCTACCCCTTGAGCCGCAGCTATACTTCCAGCTTTTTAGTGGTTAACTGGAGATTTATCTGCCTAGGACCTCAACTTCCTAGGATTATAGGTATAAGCCACTGATGCCTGGCTGCAACGAGATATTTAGCATACTGTTTCTTAGCAGTGGGTGGCCTAAAAATTTGAAGTAAAGGCCGGGTGCCTGTGGCATATGCCTGCAATTCTCAGGAAGCTGAGATCTAAGGATCGTGGTTTGAAGCCAGCCTGGACAGAAATGTCCCTGTGAGATAATGTCCCTGAGATTATCCACTCAAAAACTGCAAGTGGAGCTGTGGCTCCAAGTGGTAGAGTGCTAGACTTAAGCAAAGAGCTTAGGGACAGTGCCCAGGCCGAGTTCAAGCCCCACAACTGCTCCCCCGCCCCTCCAAAAGTTGGTTGGCACAGTTGTAAAGATATCTGTATCACATTTTTTGTAGTCTGCTGTCATTTCCAAACCTCCGGAGAGCAGAGGGGCTGAAGTTGTCATCACTGTTTGTCAATGATGTGGTCATGCCAATGTCGTGGAGCCTGTAGAAGTGCCCACGCTCTTGGTGGCATGCGTAGAAAAGACTAAGTTCTGTGGCTCCTTCCAGATCTCCCTCTACGCATCTTTCCCATCTATCTCTATATTCTTCATTGTGACGTGCTCCAGTGGATCAAATCCATTGAAGTACAAGCTGCCATCTGAGTCATGTGACAGGCACTTAAGAAGTGTACAGATTCCTCTGATGAATGAGGACACCAGCTGAATTCAGTGTGGGGGAATGAAGCCTACAGTGCAGGTCTGGAATCTTCGCTTGGGAGTACAGCCTCGATTCCCAACAACCCCCATTCCCTCGGTCTCCCACTGACTTAGCTAAGTAACTTCATTATGCTTACTTCCTGCCCCCACCTTAAACGTCTGGTCCTGGGGCTGGGAAGGTGGCTCAGTGGTAGAGCGCTTGCCTTGCATGCCTGAGGCCCTGGGTTGGATTCCTCAGCACCACATAAAAAGAAAAAACCCGGAAGTGGCGCTGAGACTCAAATGGAAGAGTGCTAGCCCTGAGCTGAAGAGCCGAGGGATCAAGCCCAGGCCCGAAGTTCAGGCCCCATGACCGGACCCAAAAAAAAAAAAAAAAAGTTTGGTCCTGTTGTGGGCTATAGCCCTATCCCTCCCTGCCTGTTAAATCCCAGCACCAATCCACTCTTGACCTTCCTGCTAACACATTCCCTTCATGCCCAGCACCTGGCTCTACCTCATTGTGTCATATCACAGTCCCAAGCAGGAAGATATGGCCAGCATTCACAGGATACATGACTCTCCACCCCCCCCTCCCCAAACACCAACAAATTAACTTGCTCAAACACACCTAACTTTAACATTTTATTTTGTGTAAAAAAGGGCAAATTTAGTGAATTATTTTCATCTTGTACACAAAGTTATAATTTTAATGCTTTTCACATCCATGCTGAGTTTGCAATTTGGTAAAAATGAAGGAAACATAAATTTCTCCAAAGGAATTTTTTACGCCATTATATACACTTCGTGAGAAAGTTTGAAATACTTTCTCAGTAATCATGTTACCAGAAAATAAAAGATTAAATTTGTACAGATATTGATCTATATATCAAATACATACAGAAATGATGTAAAAACCTTAATGCAGTTTACTTTGACCTCTGTCCTCAAAAGATTTGCCCAGGGACAGATGCTTTCTTTTGTATAAATGACTGTGGCTTTATTTAAAATATGAAAATCAAAGGAAGAAACCCAGTTTAATCACAGTATTTTTAAAATCCCTTCCCAATATTAAAGGATCATTACCAAATATATAGCACCATAATACAAATATTGATGGGAGGGGGAATTCACATCACGCAAAATTAATAATAATAAAAACAAACAAACACTGAAAAAACCCGTGTTAGTATCCGTAGAGTAAGAAGTTGATAACAGCTTTAGCTTTCCTCATACACAGCAAGGAAAAGGTTAAGAGTTTAAACTAACGAAGTTCCCAAGTAATCCGAACAGGAAAAAAAACAAAAACAAATAAAAAATACAAACTCAAGGTCAGCAGTACATTTGAACCGTAAGAGAATGGGACTACTGAGTTGTACGACTGGAGTTATGGCTACGACATAAATCTCCTCTGCAGTAACTTATTTCCTATTCATCATAAGCAGCAGGAGTGAGAATCTGAACAATGAAGAGGGCTCTGGGCTTCAGGCTGGGTTTAGACTATACAAGGTCCTTACCAAGCCTTAAACTGTTGGTCACTGGATCGAGATAAGAAACACTTAACAAGTGGCCGGGAGATTCTAGAACACTCAGAGCTTGGTTTGGCTGTAGAACTGAAGTTTATAAAACCCGGCTACAAACGAGCATTTCACAGAACTGTTGGTAGGACTGGTGGGCTCCCAACCACACCAATCCTGGGATATGCAGTTCCCTAGAGTCCCTACCTCCAAGGTACCGGCAGTTATACCCGACCTGTACCAAGGAACCAGAGTCCTGGGTCTAATCTGAGCCTGAGATTAAAGACTACTGTCACCTTTGCCTTGGACCTCTTCTAGGCTTTAAGCTCATAGGAAGATTCTTCAAAGTTAAAGATCTGGGAAGTGTGAGGATGTCACATTTACAGTACGTCCCTCTCAGTAATGCTGTTCAAGATAAATATCCAGTAATTTGATAGCTGAATTCACATATATTTGACACATGAGAATCAACCTGCGTTGATGTGATCTGCATTTATGTCCCCAGAGTCAGTATTAAGAAATGGTGACATGTGATTCCATACATTCTTACACTATAAAGTAACACAATTTACTTCCAGTAGCGACTACAAAACCTTATGTATGTTATTAACCCCTCTTGCATAGAATGAGGTAAACCTGTGCGTATTACCAATGCTATTATTCCCAAAAGTAGAGCAATATTTTAGAAAATTAAATTGCTGGTTTTTTTTTTAATGTTTCTATGCATTTTAAAACTCAAACAAAAATCTTACCTCAAATGGTCTCCTGGGGCTTTCCACTAACATTTTTTTTTTTAAAGCATTCCATAGGCTGAAGGACTGTAGAGGTTAATCATTTTGATTAATTTCTAATTAGCCCTGCCTGTTTTCCAGAGGAGATGGTCAGCATTACCACTCTGAAGAGGCCAGGCTAAGACCCCGAGCACTTCTAAAACAGATGCAATGAATTCCTGAGAGTTTATAGTTTATGAACCTTACTGGTAAACGCTAGTGCTCTCTCATTCAGTCACAACTCGGTAGGTTAGAAAATGCAGAGAGCAAACCTTTCATCAATTTACCCTTTTATCCTATTTTTAAAGGATGCCAAGTGAATTTTAAAATAGGGAATGTTCAAAATGGTCCAAATCAGTTATATTGTTAAAAGAAATTATGACAATTAAAGACAATTCAAACTATATATATGGAATTTTAAGAAAATGAAATTCTCTTTCAAATTGGTTTTCAAACAAATCCAAGATAGTTAAAAGTAGAGCTGGAATGATTCTGAAATCTACATCTATTGGCTTTGATCACTTTAGAACGTGATTCTCCTGATAATGCAGACATTTTTTTGGGGGTGTGGCTGCACCAAGCTGCTATCTCCAGACAGAGGGAAATGGGCACAGTACCCATCAGAATCCCTCCTGTGGGGTTTGTTAGCAAGGAAAACAAAGGAAACTCAGGACAATATTGCATTTTCCCAACCCTTCAACATGTAGACTGATCCTGTATATCTTGTCAACCATTCCAGTTTAAGATTTTAGTGTTAGGATAATTTTACTCCTTTCCTACTTAAAAGAGAACATTGAAAGTATACAGAGTTCTTCCAGTTTCATGTAGAACTCCAAATACATTTTGCAGAATGAAAAACTTCTGTACATTTAAAATGGGCTGCAATAAAATGCTAATGAGCAGAGTAAATGGCCCCTTCTGTATGAACATGGGGAGGAGCCTCTGTGAGGGTTCAGATGCATATTTCTGCAGCGAAGGAAGCTGGAGATGTGACTGGCCTAACTTCTGAAATCCAAAAATCTCCCAACAGGTACCAAGAAGGTTCATTTGTAATGACAGTTCATTTGCATTTACAACTATCTCCTTCGAAAATCATTTCCTTCAATCCTGCTACCTAAACTTTAATCTTACCAAAAAAGTTAGAATTTCAGTTCTTGTTAACAATGCACATAAATCCAAACTTGGAAAATATTACAAAATTCTTTCAAAAGCTTCAAATACAACACAAAAATTGTCCGTCTTTATAAATTGAAAAATCCCCCTCCCCACTAAAATAGTTTCCCCACCCACCTGAAAAATCTGGAACTGAAATTTTCTGTGTTTAGCAAAATGTCCCAGTAGAATAGCCCGCTGTACAGCTAGATTGATTATAAATCAGTCCTGTGTAAAATTTTCCCCCTCCCACCCTCAAGTTTCTGAGCCATCTCATTCATGGCTCTTGTTTGATGTAGAAGTTGGCAGAGCCATTGCTTTCCTGATCAGATGCTCCTTGGAGGAAGTTATAGTCCTCTCCATCTAGCAACTCCTCCTTCAGTTGCAGCGTAGTCACTGTGTGGGAGAGAAAATGTA